TTACATATGTATATTTTTTGCCACGAGAACATTAATGCGTAAACACCAAATTGATAACATTTTATCAGATTGCCGATACTTGTTAAACTTATATTTTTGGCAGAAAATCTCAGTAGATTAGAAAGCATTAGACACTGTCACTTGGCAGAGCGTAACTGAGTGGTTCTAGGAATCACAGATGGTGATTTTTTTTTTAACTTGTAAGTACATGTTAGCACGCGTGCTAATGGTTTACCCACCAAAATTATAAGTTATTCGTGGGCGAACCTTTCTGTATAATTTTATTCATTCATTCCTGAACAGTAGAATCATCGTCATTGTGTGGTCGTCAGACTTGCACGATTTTCTACCCAATGGCACACTACTATTATAACGTATATTGATGTAGTATTCATTCATCCAACATCAAACAGTAACTTAGAGCTGAGCGTTAGTGTTTCCATATATTTTTTTAAACGCAGATCTGTGGTGTTATTTTTAATAAGAATACGAATTTCAAATCTCACAGGCGAATTCTGCGGTGATAAGTGAGTGTGTTCTTACCGATGAGCGCGGCAGATAATGATTTACGAGCATATTGTCAATATATCAATGAAATCTTGACCAATGTGAATCATTTTTCCAATGCAAAAGTAAAAAATATATTACAATACCTACATAAGTACCTAAGCTTACGACAAAATAAAGCAACAAAAATGAAATAACCTTTTACTGTTCCGAAATTTTATTGAAGATATTATAGTACAATTAACTTATATAAAGAAATTTTAAAAGATATTTACAAGGGATTGTATACAACATTAAGATACAGTTAATACTTTAAAATTGTTTTAGTGTAAATACAATTTAATTAAAATAATAATTATGATATTTTTGTGTTTAGCCGGTAAATATTTTAATTTCTGTTTAACAACAAACACTTTAATAATAACGAAAACATATCTCTATATGAAAAAGCACTAGACAAAACTATAAATCTCTGTAAATTTTATACAACTAATATGGAAATAATAAATTCTATACAAAATTATTGCCCTAATAAAAAATTACCTACATCTTATAACGTGCACAACATTTAACAGTGATTAAAATTATCTATCAACTATCGAATTAGTTCTAAACAAATGGAATAATCTTAACTTCGAAAAACTTATTGTAACTCTTACGACAAAAACTTAAATAAGAGTTATTATTGAAAAATTTGATATGCTTGATATTCTTGTTGATAATCAAGTTGTCGAAAATAATTAAAGTCACCCGTGGCAATTATAGCTACTAAAAATGTATGTCAAACTTGTGACTATAACAAGTTTACATTATTCAAACGATTTACCAAATACAATTAATTCTTAAGATTACACATGTATTAATAATAACCTAGACGAGTTCAGATTGATAGAAAGTAAATAAATTAATTTTAAATTGAAGATATTCCACTTAAAGCCGCATCCAATGCTAACCATCCGTATGTCTTTGTTGTTGTATTAATAATTTTCAAACTAACAGTAAAGTCAGGCCCAACTTACTGTTACTTATTTTGTACTTCAATGCTCTGTTTTAGAGTTCAATTCACTTTAAATTTACTTAAGGTACCATCAGGGGTAAATGTATCCTTTTTCATTTACATTAGTGCTGGGACATGCAGTTCGATAACTTTGGATAATCATATAATACGAGTAGAAACTGATATTATCAGACACTACCACAATAGAATTAATGGTCTCATTTAAGATGTTAAAATTAAATAAAACCATAGGAGCTACAATTACTCCAACTCGCGATTTTTTGAGGGGCAAACGTAGCCGTCTCAAAAAACTAGACTTAACTTAAGCATAGGATGAAAGAAATTAATGAAAAGTGAATAACCAATAATCTTTTCACGACACAATGTTAAACACCTTCCAATATTGCGTAAAAAAAAAGATTTTGGGAATAATATTCACTGTGGTTTATTAGCTCTCACGTGTGAAAAACTGGCGGAATAAAATATGACTCTATGAAAAATACAGTTTACGTGTTAATGCCAAAAACCTATTTATATGTAGGTCAATAAAAGTTACTCTACAGAGCCACAGATTAACTTATTTCAAAAACGAAACAGTAACGAGTTATTTGAAACAGCTACATTTGCCCCCTAGCTATAACAGCCCCGGACAACCTTACATATAAATACTAAATAATTAATCTTATTTGTATAACAATAAAATCAGTTTATTTTAAGCTATACTGTAACAATTTATATTTTGGATGTAAATTGTATAATCACTTATAATTAATAAATTGTATTTTTAAACGGCTTGCTGCATTAAACATAGATTGGATTGCAATAGTGCATTTTCAATATTTTATAAATTTAGAAAACTATTTCCCATACTTTTGTAGTTTGTGTAAAAATTATGTTTTTTATATTTCAAATTATATTTATTTTTAAACACAATATATACCTACATGTATGCACATTTAACTAAAGAACTAATAGTAACATATTTATATCTATAAAACTTAAAAATACATAGATTTCTATAATAACTAAAATACATTATTAAAAGAAGTCCCTTTAGGCAAGGTTCCAAAAAAATATGTTGTTTTCCGACAACTTGATTTCATAATTGCAGCGTGTGCTCATTATTGGTGGTGTAGTTATAATTATTAATTACTATAATGGGAATATCTATAATTCACATTTCACGTGTCCGTATCCTAATTAATGCGGACTTACAATATACATACAAATATTCGTTGATTGAAATTTGGATTGGAAACAAATATACCCTAATAAACGAATTTAATTTTACTATAGCCACACTGGGTTTTATACCACGAAATTTTGATTTTACGCAATTAAAGAAAAAAATTTGACTGAAACATCATTTGATACAACTAAACTTTGATTACTAGATTTTATGTCGTTTAATATCGAACAAGAATGGCTAATGCAAAATTATTGGGGAGATTGGGGAGAAGATTTTAAGTTAACATGGTGTGTTTATTGAACGTAGGTGTTTAATTTATGTTGAAGTGAAAATAAACGTAGGTGTTTATTTAATACTTAAGGGAGGTGATTGACATGAAATCGCTATTGAAACCATGATGCTGTATTATAAACTGAAAAGATATCAATTTGTTTTGTTTTTGGTTATTAAACGCTAATATATTATAATCACCTAATCCAGGTGCTTACGAAATGCAAAAACCAACTTGGATGACCAGTAACTTTTTTTAAATATTACAGCCGTCGTTGGGTGTAAAATCTAATTGTATGGAAATTACATTCAATTATTATTCTGATTTTCATTATATATTTATTTAAGCATTATATTGCTTGATTTTTGTGATTGATACCTAGATGGAGTTGAGAAAATCTTTAAATAAAAAAAATGTACATATATTTATATATGTACAATTTTTTTATTCAAAAATTGTTGAATAAAAAATGTTAATGTTCGCCAAAAAAGGTTTGCTATAGGTTTTTTTAATATGCGTTTCTAGTCCCTTTTGAAAAACGTAAACCTAAATCTATCGCTATTAACTTCAAACATTCGGCTGAAGAATAAAGTATTAAACTTTAATATAACTTGAATATTGGTGCAAAACGGCCTAGGCCTTTTTTCTGACGTTTCAATTGTAGTGTAAAACAAACAATAGAAACTTTACATGCAAAAGCACCTACGGAACTCATATTCAGTTTCCTAGATGAGCATAGTAACTACAGACGGATCGAAATCGACACTTCGTGTGCCAAAAACATGTCAAAAGGGTCCCCCTTTTACGCTATTTTATTTCTTCGCGTCACCGTTCTTGGCACTGGAAGTAAATCACAATTTTAATGGATCAGCAATTTTATTATATTTAGAGCATAAAATGTGTTCTCAAAATATGACACGCTCGGTTTTCATACAAGTTGAAGTTGTCAACTTAAATCTAGGTCTTATAAAGGGTCAAAAAACCAATTAGTTACATTTTTACAGCTGTGTGTATAAATTCCAGTGTGTCTAAGTTTTAATACACGAGTGCTTTCTTTCTTAACTAAATCCAGATGTTAGTATGTTCAGGGCAAGCAACCGCGGCCTCTGTCTTACGTTATACCTATGGACATTTTATGCTAAATAGGTATTACTTAGACTTAACTTACTCTTCAGTCTTGGACGTTACTTAAATAGAATACTCCTAAAACCCGCGTCGAATTACTTTAATATCTCTCCATAATGATAAAATTAAAAACTTATTTTCTTTAAGTTTTAGATATCAAACATGACATCACATTCATTAAATAATTAACCACAGAATAATTACCTTGAGAGAAACACACAATAATTATTATCAAAGAGACACGTAGATTTTTATGTTGCTATAGTCTAATAGATTAAAATTTTTGATCTATAAATAAGAGTATTTCAACGATATTAATGCTAAGACTTTGAACTTGAAAATTATGGTATAAATATCTAATTGTATGGGAAAAATCTCGTCCACCAACAACAAAAATAGATACGTATAAGGTAAGACACTGCACGACCAAAACCACGACATCTAAAAGGAGAAAGCGAAATATATTACGACGTTCATTCATCACTTTTTACATTAAACTTACATCTAACCTTTTCCTTTCATTATAAAATCATTAGTCTTAGAAACAAAATTACAAACAGTTAAAATATTTTTCAATCTGTATAATAAACTTGTATATAAAGGTTGCACACAATACTTAATTATATTTATAAAAATATATTGCTCAGGGTTCCAGTGGGTCGGTATTAAAAATCAGTGCGATAAATTACCTCAGTGATGTATTCATGACAGTAACATAATTTAAATTCGTTTGCCTACCTACTGTTTTAAATAAATTGATTTATCAACATCTGCCCTTAAATTGTTGTTCCCGCTTTTTACGTGATTGGTAGGCATTTTTTTTAATAATTGTTGTGTGGTAAAGAAATTGCATTTTTAAATTGTTCACATTTCCATAAATAAATATTTAATATATTTGTTGTCTTAATCTTATGATAAGCTAGATGTATACATAAACGATTTTAAAAATCTTAAATGCTAATGATATGTTTATTGTTAAGTAAATTTATTGATATGTATAGGTAATTGTTGATATGTGTTTCATCACAACGTTATCGTAAGTACGTCTCCTAAGTACTTTTTTGTGCAACTGCGCAAAACTTTATTGTTTTTGTCAATATAACATCTTGTTGTGTCAGTAAATATGATTCTGCAGATAATGAATTACTCATTTATTCAACTTCCTTAGTATTCAAAATGTATACTGATTCTTAAACTGGAAATAATTCATCGGTGACTTCTAACTGAGTAAGTACCTAATAGTTAACTGAACTGAACTTTAATTAAGATAATTTTAACGATTCAACTGAATGACACTTTGTTTTTGTTATATTACCATAGCAGCTTGCATTAGCAGATTGCGATTTTTGATATTAAGGAAGCTATCATATCAAAGTTTATGCATAATAAAATCAAAAATGTTCCGTAGCTAAGCATTAATAATTTTAATTAAAGGGGTACAATACAGTTTTGCACAGTCTCCGACATTTGCAACGTACTAGACCTGATTGATCCTGCGTAACGATAGTAATTATACTCGAGTATTCTAGTCCTCTGGCCAGCCTAAATCTTCTCCTACAAGATCGTAGAACCTCTGGTTGTGTTGTATGAAAAATTTCCTCAGTTTGGTGACCACGGCAGGATCTACCCGAGGATGCTTCCGGCCTTTTGTTTCCCGAAGACATTTGTCGGTAGTGTCGTTACGCAAACAGTAAAACCCCTTCGTTTCATTGAAGTAGAAGTTTTTTCTTCCTGTTATGATAAGGGAATTGGTAAAACAATCAATTTTCTTGTTTCGTGCTTTATATAAGAAGGAAGAGAGGGGTATCTAAATTGTCAAAAAGCTCAAGAGCATGACGATTTTCATATATAAGTGGTAGACCAAAAATTTTGTATACCTACGTCTTGCTCTGGAAAAAAAAATATCAGTTTCTTTGGGCTTTTAGGTTGTTCTTTAAACTTTTATTAATCTCGAGGAGCTACGGTAGGGTAAATTATTAATCAGCTTACCAATTTTATGCTCTAGTCCAAGGAACTTCTCTATGCGCCGAAGTTGCGGCACCGGATCCTCAATCAGCAGATCACCGTTCACTACTAAGATTTGTTCCCGGGGAAACACTTCCAGCCACCGATGGAGGTACGCATGGTACAAAGATATTGCTATGGGCCTGCAAGTAATGTTTGATAATATAATATAACCGTTATCACTAAGCCGCTTAAACAAACGTGTGGTTAGGGATGGATTTCTCTAATTCTGTGCAACAAACTACTTGTTTCCCTTTGCTTGCTGACCTAAGGTGTAAGTCATTACCCGTGGTCATTACCGAGTTACTTGTGGAGTAAAGACCATTAAATTATATTAATGCAGAAAATACTATGCACGATGTTCTTTAAATGCAAGCACTCTATGCAAAAGTGTCTACGAATTATGAATCCTAAAAGGTTTTCTTTATTGAAATCAATTTTTCCATTCATAAGTCAGTGACTTTCAAAAATCTATCATAATCTCAGCTGATTAAACAGAAACCAAAATAGCAAAAAATCTGAAACCAGTCGGCCATTCCCTTTGCAACCAGCAGCGGTTATACCAGTACCCCTAGCACGAACCAATATCGAATTCGTATCGTTTGCGAGTCCGAAATGTCATTGTCAAATGTGTACTGATTTTTAGTTCTCGTTACGTACTTTGTGCCGCTGCTGTTCAAATTTCCATACAAAATTTTACATTGACATTTCGGTTTGCAAACTATTCGAATTCGATAATGGTTCGTGCTAAGGGTACATGTCATTAATCCATACTCATATAATAATACATTTATAGAAAAGTGACTGTACAAAGAGGTCAATAGGTAAAATAAGGTGATTTTGTGGAATACCTGTAAGCGACGTCGATGGAACCATCAGGAGAAATAGCGAGATACACGAAAGGCTTTGGCACTGGCACGGTCTGGCACTGGTGGCCGGGTAGCGCAGGCTGCGCCGGAGCAGATGGCAGTGCGCGGCTTCTGCTGCATATAGTCCGAGATGGCGCGCGTAACTGGCTCGCGGACGATGAGTAGAAGCCGTACGTTCGGTCAATATCTAGATACCTAAGATAGTAGAATACCTGTAAGCGACGTTGATGGAGCCATCAGGGGAGATGGCGAGATGCTCAAAGGGCTTCGCTGCGTCTGGCACCGGGTGGCCGGGTAGCGCAGGCTGCGCCGGAGCGGATGGAGTTGCGCGGCTTCTCAGTTGCGTATAGTCCGAGATAGCGCGCGTAACTGGCTCGCGGACGATGAGTAGGAGCCGTACGGATGAGTTCATAGCTCGTACCCTTTCAGGCACCTAATAAATCAAGCGTTGAAATTTCTTATTTCAAATCGGTAACAAGCATTGTTGGATTTCGTATTTTGCGGGTTTTTAATAATTTCATTATAGGGTAGTTTATGCACTTGCAATTGCCTTAATCCAATCTGTCTCCCATCCTTTTCATACATGTGCACTTTTAGCTATGGCCGTCCTGCTTTCGACGACACCGCGGAGTGCATAGGACATTATACTTTTTCCACCTCTCTCTTGTGAACGTTGTAATGGAAGACACACATGTTGTGATATAGTATCCAAAAATTACTGTGCGATCATACTATTAGTGAACATTTTACATTGTGCAATTTATATAAATACAAAATCTGTGCCGGCAAACGATTTATTTTCGATATAAGTGCTTGAAGGATGACTTGCGACCAAACGGATGGTGTGCTGAGGTAAGTGCGCATGTTCCTTTCCTTTGTCTCCAAGTCTTCAACCATTTTCTTCGTCCTTAAATAGATAAGGCATTTGCAAGGCGCAGTTTATTTTGTATTTTTAATAATATATGATTGTGTATTACCGCCCCCCAGATACAGTCCACTATTAACCTACGCCTAGGGTTAGCCTCTCCATATAAGTATTGAGCACGCAAAATTATTATTTTCCCGCAACCCAAGTTATGGGGGTTTAGGCGCCTCCATACTTTTTTGGTCACTTCGATCCGAATTTTCCCATTATTTATGGTCAGTTCTAACCAGATTTTCCCAAATTAATGTAATTTCGCTACAGTTTTAATCATTGCTTTCACGAATATAAGTGTTGTTGTTCAATTTGGCAAATATTTACATAGAAATCATAAATTCATTTTCGTTCAAATACACAATCGCTAAGAATTTACAATTTACTAAAATCCGCTAAGTATAACTTATAGTGGTACTTGTGCTACGTAAATTAAATAAATTGTCGAATTTCTATTGTTATTATTCCGCATCGACAGTTTATTGTTTTTATTTCCGCACCGCATTACGTAGTCCAATGCATCATTGAGTTATACACATTCCATTTTTCGCATAATTTGTAATAATGTTCATTTTATTTTGTCATTGTTCGGTTAATATCGGCTTGCCCCGCTAACGATCTTATACTCGCGTCTCAACGTTCGCTACCCGCTAATAGTATTTTTTCTTACCCGCCAATCTCACCCGCTAATATTTTTACTATAACTTACTTTTAAAACCGTTAAGATTGCCTACTATATACATTCTGTTAAAGATCCAATAGCATTCACATAAAATATTTTACTTTTAATTTTATTTACCGCAAATATTTCTATTTTTTATTGTCTGTCGTAATTTACTAACTATTTTTAACCATGGTTAAGCCGAAGAGGAAGGGCAGTGAAGGTTTTGCAGGGGATAGTTATGATACAAATAAAAATCAGCTGACTATTTATATAGTCAAACGCGATGTTATTTATAAACGCATAGAAAATATTTATGAGCTCGCACAAAAATCGGAAAAAGATCCGCAATATTATAAAGCATTTTGTGCTAGTGCATTAAATATAGACACTTTACGTTCAGATTATCAGGATGTATTAGATTCCTATAATATATTAAATTTACAGTTACACCCAGATTCCGAGGTTGACTATGATTCCTGGTTAACATTTGAAGTTATGTTTTGTTATATAAAACAAATTTTGCTCGATAACACAAATGAATTATCTCATTCAAAAAGTAATTTAAAATCTAAACCCCGCCTTCCGCCTATCGACTTAATGTCATTTAACGGAGATGTAAAAAATTGGCCTTTATTTTACCAACAATTTAAAAATATGATTCATGATAACGCATCGCTCACTGATAGTGAAAAGGTATTTTACCTAGTTGGCAAATTAACGGGACAGGCGTCTAGCGTCTGCGCAGGGTTGGCTCCCACCGCAGAAAATTATATTGTTATTTGGGAGGCACTCGTGCAGAAGTATGACGATCCTCGCTCACTCGCATGTGCATACCTTAATCAGTTGTTACATTTTAAACCGCTATCAAATACTAGTTCAACTGGGCTCGATTTATTTATAAATAATTTTGATTCTTCTGTAGAAGCGCTTAAGCAACTGAAGCTTAACGACTTAACTGATTTTATTTTCTTGCATTTAGCTCTGCAAAAGTTAGACGCAGACACAATTAAATTATTTGAAATTACGTATCGTAAAGATAAAATACCTACTTATCATAATTTAATTGAATTTATAAAAGAACAGAGTAAAGTTTTGTCTCGTTCTGCGCACATTAGTAAGCCGGTTGAACACTCGCAACACAAACAACGTAATCATAACCGCGTCCCTATGCCGTCGACAAAATCCTTTGTAAATACGGACACGGGAAGTGGTTCCAATACAAGCGATAAATGTTCTTTGTGTAAAAATAAACAGCACGATCATTTATATTCGTGTTCGTCTTTTATGAAATTAACTCCACGTGAAAAATATAATTTTATAAAAATAAATTCTTTTTGTAACAACTGTTTAAGCTCCAAACATAAAACATTTTTTTGTACTTCTAAAAATACTTGTTCTCATTGTTCTATGCGGCACCATTCTTTATTACATTTTAATAATGCAAATAAATCTAATTGCAACGTCGCCGCAGTGGTGTCCGCCGCTGCTACTGTACCCGCTCACTCCGCTACCGCTATTGACGAGCCCCGTCCTGCGACGGGCAGTCGTTCCGAGTCCGATATGACTCATCACTCCCGCACCGCTAATATTAACCATGCACCTATTGCATTTAAGGTCGAAAATAATTTACCGCGCTTGAATAAAAACGATGCATCGGTTTGCACAGTCTCTTGCGATTTAGTAAGTCGTTATCAGACGACTACGTTGTTAGGGACTGCGAAAATTAAAGTAATCGATTGTAATAACCGCATTCATTATTTGAGATGTCTTGTTGATCCTGGCTCTCAAAGTGATTATATTTCCGCTTCCTGTCGTAAGCTACTTTCGCTTTCTATTAATAATAATTCCCGCTATTCGGAAGTTCAAGGCATAGGAGGAGCTACACAAAAAATATTAGGTATAACCGCACTCACATTTTCGTCGCGCTTTGATAATAAATGTGAATATTCTATACGGCCCATGATAGTTGAGCAGATTACGTCGCACCTGCCCGACTCGCGCGTAGATGCAGCAGCGATTACATTTATTCGTAACTTACCACTTGCTGATGATGAGTTTTCACAACCGGGGCCTATTGATATACTTTTAGGTGTTAAACTTTTTTGTGAGATTTTACTTAATGATCATATTAAAAGTCAGCGTAACGGTATGCCCTCCGCCTTTGAAACGACCTTAGGTTACCTAATTATGGGTGACGCTCCTATTATTTCTCCGCTACCCGCTATTCGCACATTGTGTGCTTTTACTTCAGATCCGCTACACCAGATTGTCGAAAAATTTTGGGCCATTGAAGAGTTACCTTCGCGCACTTTCTTAAGTCCCGATGATCAACAGTGCGAATATATTTATTCTTCAACCACTGTTCGCAACTCTGACGGCAGTTATTCTGTTGATCTTCCCTTTAAAGATGAACCCAATAAATTAGGCAATTCTTATAATACCGCTAAAAAACGATTTTTACTTCTCGAAAGGAAGTTTTCTAAAAATCCAAAACTTAAAAATGCTTATGACGAAATTATTCGTGAATACCTAAACAAAGGTATTTTATCCCGCACCGCACCTGAGTTATGCAACAGCCCAGGTTTTTATTTACCGCACCACCCTGTAGTTCGCGACGACAAAGTGACTACTAAGGTCCGCCCAGTGCTGGACGGCAGTGCCAAAACCGACACAGGGCTATCTTTAAATGACATATTACTCACTGGTTGCAATTTGCAAGCAGATATTTTTCACATTCTTTTGAATGTTCGCATTTTCCGCATAGCATTTTTTGCAGATGTAAAACAAATGTATTTGTGTATTTATACTAACGCATCGCACCGTAAATATCAACGTATATTATATAGATTTTCGAAACTTCTAACCCGCCGTCTGTTTGTACAAAACGTACTATTTTGTCCGCGACCGCCCGTCTATACGACGTCCTAGGACTCGTTGGACCTGTTATTCTTTACGCTAAATTAATAATAAAAGAACTCTGGCTTCTGAACCTTGATTGGGATGCCGTACCTCCCTACCGCATTGTCAATCTTTGGCAAAAATATTTAAGTGAACTTCCGCAGATCTCAAATTTATCATTTCCGCGCCATTTTGGTATTGAAAAATACTCAAAAGTTTCTTTAGTAGCTTTTTCGGACGCTAGTGAATCCGCATACGGTTGTGTAATATATTTACACGTCGTAAATGGAGACCAAAGCCCTATTGTCTCACTAGTATGTTCAAAGTCACGTGTCGCATCCGCAAAACCAAAAATAACTTTAGCCCGTTTAGAACTTAATGGTATACTTTTACTTTCGCGACTTCTTAAATCTGTATATGACACTTTGTCTGCGAGACACAAAATTGATAATATTTTTGCATTTTCGGACTCCGAAGTAGCTTTATGTTGGTCGGTTTCCTCACCGCATAGATTTAACACTTATGTTGCTAACCGCATTTCACAAATACAAGAAAATATTTCCACTGATAATTTATATCACGTCGCTGGCCTACAAAACCCCGCAGACTGTATGTCTCGTGGGCTCTCACCTTTACAGCTCATTCGGCATGAGCTTTGGTTTAAGGGACCGCCTTGGCTCTCTTTGCCTATCAACGACTGGCCTATACAAAAGTTTATATCAAATCGGTTATTTTTACCGGAAGAAAAAACCGTTTCTCACGTGACAGCAGTTACTGCAATTAATCATCCTCTTATAGAATTAGCTTCACGGTGTTCCACTTGGCGAAAGCTTATTTCGTCAACTGTATATACGCTTAGATTTATAAAAAGGCTCCCGCGGAACAACGTTATTACCGCTGAAGATTTAAATATCGCAGAGTTAAAAATTATTCACGCAGTTCAAACACAATATTTTTCTGATGATATAAAATGCATCGCAAAGGGCCAGCCGTGTTCTCCTAAGTTACGAAAATTATTTCCGTTTTTATGTGACGGACTTTTACGCGTCGTAGGTCGCTTATCGAATTCGACATTAGATTATTCATCTAAACACCCGATTTTATTACCTAAACATGGACGTATTACTGAGTTATTAATTGAATTTTATCACGTAAATAATTGCCATGCTGGGCCGCAGTTATTAATTTCCTTATTAAGATCCAAATATTGGATAATTTCAGCTAGACGTATTGTTCGTCAACGCATTCATCTATGCAATATTTGTTTCCGGTTGAACCCCAAACCTACATTTCCGCCTATGGCAGATTTGCCTAAGTGTAGATTAGAAAAATGTAATGCATTTCTACATACGGGCGTAGATTACGCTGGTCCGCTTTATATTACGCCGTACCGTAAACGTGGTGTTCATAGCGTAAAAGCTTATATATGTATATTTATATGTCTAGTTACTAAAGCAGTTCACATAGAACTTGTTTCAAATTTAACTTCTGCTTCATTTATTGATGCGTTTAAGCGCTTTATTTCGCGAAGGGGTCCTTGTAATTTTTTATATAGCGACAACGGCACGAATTTTGTCGCTTCGAAGGCTTACTTTAATGAACTTTACGAGTTTCTACTCACTGATGATTATTATAAAACATTTAGTAGTGAGCTCGCGAAACACCGCATTACGTGGCGTATGAACCCGCCTACGGCTAGTCACTTTGGTGGCATATGGGAAGCGAACGTTAAGAGCGTCAAGTCACTTTTATTTCGCGTGATTGGTAAACAAATCCTTACATTTGAGGAGATGTCTACTGTACTCACTCAAATTGAGGCGGTTCTTAATAGCCGGCCTCTTTATGTTTTAAATTCCGATCCGTCAGAACCGCTTGCACTTACGCCTTCACATTTTTTATGTACCGCTCCACTAGAATGTTTACCCGCGGCTGACTTGACCGAGCAGCGATTGCATTTATTGTCTCGTTTCTCTTTAATGGATAAGTTGGTGCAATCGTTTTGGAAACGATTTCAATCTGAATATTTACATAATTTGCAATCGCGCGAAAAATGGAATACTCCTTCGAATCCTATAACGGTAGGCACAATAGTGTTGTTAAATATTGATAACGCTCCACCATTACAGTGGCCTTTAGGAATTGTAAACTGTCTATACCCTGGTAGGGATGGAATTATTCGCGTTGCGGAAGTAAAAACAAAGGCTGGCGTTTACAAGCGTCCAGTTGTGCGGCTATGCCCGCTTCCGACTCAATAGAGTCATAGACTAGTTCTATTTATTTAGTTTACGTTGTCACTTAGACAAATACATTTTAGTTTAGTTTACTTTTTATTTTTTTTACTCGCTACTCGCCTTAATATATTTAACCGCTCCGCTATGCTACGATATGCGGATTAATTTTCCCTTTGTTGAAGGGTTTCTTCAAGGCCGGGGGGATGTTGGATTTCGTATTTTGCGGGTTTTTAATAATTTCATTATAGGGTAGTTTATGCACTTGCAATTGCCTTAATCCAATCTGTCTCCCATCCTTTTCATACATGTGCACTTTTAGCTATGGCCGTCCTGCTTTCGACGACACCGCGGAGTGCATAGGACATTATACTTTTTCCACCTCTCTCTTGTGAACGTTGTAATGGAAGACACACATGTTGTGATATAGTATCCAAAAATTACTGTGCGATCATACTATTAGTGAACATTTTACATTGTGCAATTTATATAAATACAAAATCTGTGCCGGCAAACGATTTATTTTCGATATAAGTGCTTGAAGGATGACTTGCGACCAAACGGATGGTGTGCTGAGGTAAGTGCGCATGTTCCTTTCCTTTGTCTCCAAGTCTTCAACCATTTTCTTCGTCCTTAAATAGATAAGGCATTTGCAAGGCGCAGTTTATTTTGTATTTTTAATAATATATGATTGTGTATTACCGCCCCCCAGATACAGTCCACTATTAACCTACGCCTAGGGTTAGCCTCTCCATATAAGTATTGAGCACGCAAAATTATTATTTTCCCGCAACCCAAGTTATGGGGGTTTAGGCGCCTCCAAGCATTAAACTGCTACATTTAAAATATCTATAGATTTTTCACTAGAATTTCGTTATTAGGTTGGAATGAAAAGCCTGTAGCAAAGTAGTCTGCATTCTCCCGGTAACTGAAATCCACTGGTACGTTTCCTTTCCAACTTCATTGACCTGTGGGCCTATTATAAAAATGAAAAAGGTAATCGATAATAGTCCGTCATTCAACTATTTATATTTTAGAACGTTTAAAACAAGGTTAAAATTTAATAATTCATTCGACGAACTTCAGTCGTTTTTTGTTTATATTTTTTTAATGGGGGCCCATGAAATAATTCATCTCGCCCTAGAACCCTCTGAGCTCTCTATTATTTCTAGCAAATATTTACTTCAAATCTAAAAATACTACTTCTTTTAATATTCCAACGACTATTTTTGTTAGTGGGTGGCAGACTGACTGTGAGACTGTAGCCTACTAAACCAGGAAAGGAGGCACTTTCAATACTGCTGTAATCTACTCTACCTGTCTGAACTCGGAATTGATAAAAGTTTTGCTGTAGGTACCTAGTTAATTATTATATTTGTTATTGTACTACCAAAAACTAGATGCAGCATTGGTATAAACTACTAAGAGTTTAACACCGATTTAAAGTGATTCACTAACCTCAGGAGTAACGAAGTAGCTAGGGCTCTTTTCGATGGTGATTTGCCCTTTGAATGATAGTGGCATTTTACTTCTGTACCACTCCAGGCCGAGTGCGTAGTTCTCGTCGCGATCGAAGAAGTGAACCTCTCCGGAAGCCTTCTGCACCATCGGATGAAGGTACAGCATCTCAAGTAAAGCCCTTGTTCCGCATTTTCGAACGCCGATGATTAAAGCCTTAGAAGTGAAACAAATCAAAAATATAACTTGAAAATGATATACATATTTACACTGGAAATTTTGTACGTTTGGACATCTGTCATTAATAAGGAAACGTTGCGCATTGTTTTAAAGTATTTTACATGATTGTTTATTGTATGCTTCTTATTTTTTTTAAAAGAACTTATCTTATCTTTAAATTTCATAGCAAAAACAAAACGAAAAGTATGTAACCTATGCTCTTCTCCAATAGTCTCTATATCAATATACCGAGATCGTAACGCATAACAAAAGACGCTTTTTCAATATGAATATGGATGGAAAATATTTTATATGCGCTTAGAAACCTTTATCGGAAAATATTGAGCAAATATTCACTGGTCAGTTTTACACGACAGGTGTGTTAGTAGTAGGTTTATAGAAAGATACTGCAGCATCCCGCCCGATTTAGCTTCTGCAAATAGAATACTCTGCGAATAGCGCCCGAATAGTAGAGTAACTTTTGATTTGAGTCGCGATGTTCTGTTGTTTTGTTTGCTGAATATTACAATTGACACTGCTATTTTCTTCCGGTCGAAGGAAAAAAAGAAACTTTGAAATAGGGCGAGTCTTATAAGGTCGAGCAGAAGACGTTACATCGTGTTTCCTGTATGGATATCTTGTGTGGACCCTTGTAAATTTCTTTGGTTTTCACGTACACTTCTTTACGTTCGTTACTTCGAGAGATCATTGTAGTTGTATTGTATAGAACATTTGATCATACGGCCAGTTGCCATGGCTTTGAAAAATATGTAATACCCTAAGACGGGATATTTTGATTTGTTTATAAATATGACGGTTAATGACGTGTTTAGATGCATCGTTTACAATTTGCAATACTGTTAATGTATGAAATACTTAGGTTTTCTATTGTTAGTTACAAAAAAAATAAATAAGCATATTTATAAGTTTACAAATAAGTATTATGCCCAAGAGTTAAGAAACACTGCATTTGAATAAAAGCCGCCTTTTGTCAGTCAAATTACTAGCGTATAAAAGTATAACATACCCATGAGAGGAAATAATCTCAAACCATCTTTTGCATCGCATATTATTTGAAATCAACTCTCTATAACACCTTAATTAGAAAATCCCTATTTGGAAGATTTTTTTTCAAAATTCCGATTTCTCCTTTGCATGGGAAATCATTCAGAATTAAGTAAGTATAAAGAAACCGTGACATAAGGATATATGTAAATCAAAGGTCCGAGATTCATTAAATAACCCCCGGGAAACCTTCAAGAAGTAATCACCAATGTGAATGCCTTGCAAACGTTTCTGACGGTGTTGGGCTGGCTGGAGTGACTCCGGCAATACACCCTCCTCACGCAAAACAGGTGCCTTAAGGATGTTCAGTTGTGGAAACGAAGAAGAAGAAAATTCATTGAATACCTGGACGTTGCGGAATCGCCCGTTGCAAGAAGTAGAACAAGATTCATTAAATACCTGTGGCAGTCTCCGCGCAGGCCGCGGCTGCTTCGCCGGTCGTATCCTCTTCCTCAGTGCCATCGGGTGGTTGATGGTTCGACTGTTCGACTCCTGGTTCTGCATCAGCTTACGATTCTCGCTCGCCGCAGACGCCATACTGGCCGCCTGGTAAAAAAAACCTTGATTTGAGAAATTTCTGGTTTTTATCAAAAATACATTAAAAATCTTAGGCAATTGACAACAAACCGACAAGTTACTATATTTTGAAGTAACTTTTGTATTATGGTATGGTACATTGCATAAGATTTGACTATGGATATAGACATTAAATAAATATTTTGTTCAATAATTTGTTTGTTCGACCTTAAGGCGTTGTCCTAATTGACAACGATCGTACGATGACACGATGCGATCTCGTTATGCGATGAGTTCAAACATAAAGCTTTCTTCAAAAGTGTCCTAGTACAACTTGTAAGCCGTCCCTAAGGCACATTATTTTCATCGCACGATGATTTTCAAACAAGAAAATTTCTTCAGAAGTGAATCGTAAGCAGTCGCACGAGCACGAGTACATTATTTTCATCGCACGATGAGATCGCATCATGCCACCCTTGCCAATTAGAACGACGCCTGAGAATTACGCCTAATAAGTTGACATAAGCCTTATTATTAATTTTGGTTTTTGGGGCAATGCAGTCTTAATGGGACTACAGTCACTGCGACCTATAACATCTATTGTGACTCGCTGCCAAGTTAAAGTATCTCTTTTAGCCCGACAGCTTCCAAGAAGCTCAAAATGTTTCTAGTTTTTAGAGATTTGATTTCCTCTGTGCGTATTTATATGTCGTCCCAAATGAATACTACGTTTGTGGGTGAGAGGCCCACATTCCCATAGAATGGTGTTTTGGTGTTTCACGCTCCTGATATCATATAAGCCTTTCACCAATTTCATAAACACAAAATCATATTTAGGGGACAGCTTTGAAAAAATCTAAGTGATTCAAAACAAGATCGGTCCGATATCTATTTTCATTAAAAGCTCTCAGGGGAGAGGTCGCAATGTCATTGGTAATTAATGATTAAATATGTTTGTTCCGGTTGCGGGGATTGCTGTGATTTGTGATGAGATTTCAGGAATTATAGCAGCACGATTTTTCCATTGCTAACGAAGAACAATGAATGGGTTCTAGTCACATGATAAATTGCTGCAGGGTGACTGGCAGATTTGTTTATTTTTGAAATGGTTAGCAGGTTGTTTTCTGGTTACAAATGTTGCTAACGAATCCGTGAGGTAAGATTTTGAAATGTTATTTCTCAAATCAATAATAAGGCAACGTAAATCATAACGACGGGACGTTCTCAAAGAATCTGACATTGATTATGATAAAAAATTAACCTGGTAACGGCGCGAAATTTGGTTTAAAGTATGAACTCAGTCGTTAAAATATTTAGTACCTATTGTTGGAAGAGGACAAAGTGACTGTCATCAGATACCAGGACCGGGTTTGCTGAGGTAGGTGGAGCGAAAACAGAAAGTTGTAGGCCGGAAATAAGTAAGTTCTAGAAAATATAGTGGTGAATTAAAAAAAGGTGTGGATAAGACCGAAGACATTATGCATGCATGTGTATGGATCCCATTCCAAAATGACATTGCTGCACCTGCCTTTTTACCGCGTAACTACATTCATATGAACTTAATGGAAATATTGTTATTGAAGTGAAAACTTCTTTAGCGGCGTTGTACACTTTTTTTGTAATGGGTAAAAAATGTTAAAATCGCGTCAGGACACGTGGCCTGATTGAAAATTTGTAAAACGAAAACAATAAAATTGGAAAGGTTGTTGACTTTCAATATATTGGACGAAACATAGTAATATTTTATTTTATCGTATTATAATAATAAGTCTCTAACTAGGACGTCCAAGTGGCAGCTTTATTGCGAAGAAAATGCATTTTTTGTACAATAGATTTCGCTAGATGCGCTTAAATGTGATTCATGTAAGTTACCACATAAATGATAGTACTTTTATACTGATTATTAAAGCAATTCGTGCAAAATTATTCGCTAACCATTCCAAAATATCAAAAATCACAACGCTAATATTCAAGTTTTCACTTCTGCCGGCACTCCCAGAGTGCAACCCGTGTTTTTTTTTAATAGTTTGTTGAATTCGGTAAAAAGTCGAAACTCAAATACATCAATATTATCAAAGCTTAATTTAAACTATCTAGTAACGCGGCCCATTTTATCAATAAAAATAGATTCGAAATGTCTTAATTTACATTTACGTACGCGTGGAAAAAAATTAAGGGTGGACCACCCTTAACATTGAGGGGGATGAAATATAGATGTTGTTCGATTCCCAGATCTACTGAATATGCATATAAAATTTCACGAAAATCGGTCGAGCCCTTTCGAAGTAGTTCAATTACGCACACCGTGATAAGAGAATTTTATATATTACTAGCTGTCCCAGCGAACTTCGTACCGCCATAAAAAAATAGGGGTTGGTGGTAGAAGGATGAAAATTTAGGGTTGTATGTATTTTTGAATGATGTATCATAAAAATATAAAAAAGAAATATATCTAAATTTAAAAAAAAAATAGGGGTGGATTACCCTTAACATTTAGGGGGATGAAAAATAGATGTTGTCCGATTCTCAGACCTACCCAATATGCACACAAAATTTCATGAGAATCGGGAAAGCCGTTTCGGAGGAGTTTAACCACAAACACCGCGACACGAGAATTTTATATATTAGACAAGATACCCCTACTGGTGGACCAGTAAAGTCCCACACCAGATATCGTTACCCTACGTCATGAACCCAATGAACGTTGAGGTATGGTTAATATGAGTACCTACTCATTCTTGAACGTATAAACAACGAATCGTAATAATAATAATATAATATTCATAATCGTGGTAAATCGTTGTTTAATCGTTTTTGTTGAGCATGCTATTCTTAATTCAAAACCTTATAAATCGTCCCTCCTCTATGCATTTTTTTTATTCATTCTGCATTTTCAGTGAAGGGCTTTTTTTAAAGGCCTTTCAACGACCATGCCATCAAAAATAATTTACTGTGGGCGTTAGTAATTTATTCTACTTAGTTCCTTAATTAATGATAATAATAATGAAAAGGTGACTTGCATAAAATTAAATTACAATACATGTTGAGTCATCCTGGCCTCACAAAAATGAAGTCTATTTAAAGTGCTCAGCGATTTTCACGTCCAATTTTTACGGCTTGAAATGCAAATGTTAGTATCAGTAATTATACAATTCAAAATATTATTTTACCTTTCTTATTTTATCTGAAACTTAACTGTTTGATTTAACATTACAATTTAATATCAATTATATTCTATCCATATTGATATTTTAATACCTACCTGATAACCAGGCCAAACTGTAAATGAGTACTCATATTTTTTTATAGGATTTGTACGAAGTCCGTATTTATCATATATGAGGAGCTGGCGGACAAAACGGTATAATTACATAAAATTAAATTTTACAGGAGCTGTATAAAACAGAACGAAATAGTTTGGCATAGTTTTTAATGTATAAAGGACATTGTTCAGCGTCCATACATAGTTAGCCTAAGAACCAACAATCATGAAATATTATTTTCTAGGTTCGAAATCGTAAGTAAATGACTGTAAAAACCAAGATTATTGACGGACACTTCTGAGAACTTAAATTATTAGGAAAACTAAAATCTTTTTGAGGTTATGTTTAATATTCAATGAAACATAGGTCAACCTATGAACTTAGTATGAACTCAGTATGAAGTGAATTAATATTACAACTAATTCATTTTATTCGGTGCGATTTTAAAGAATAACTATTAGGAAAAATTTGGTTAGGTAGGAGTCATGAATAAAATAAAAACTGTAGTTTTGCTTCTTATTTATTGACTATTTTTCACATAATTGTATCATATCGTATATTGTATTTATTTGTATATCACATGCATATTGTGTAAATATGCAGCGTAATGTGTATCAGGTGTACTTGAATAATTTGGCAGTATGATCCTCTCAGGATGTCGTGGCACAGGTTCACTAGCACTTGGTAATAAGGGTTCTGCTCTTTGGTAACATCGATGGCATATTAGAAAGCCGAAATAGTTAAATTAAAAGAAAAAACAATTGCAAATAAACTCACATAACAGGTAATCCGAAACGAGAATGCACTTTCCGGTATACGTATAATATACTACTCTTTGGAATGCACGAATGCCACAGATTACTACGAATGCAAACTGCCTGCACCACAACCACAGAGTAACGAGTTTTGTGGCGGCCCTTCGCTTGTTTGTTTGTCTTCAACAGTTTGTCCTTGTCATGCTTAATAAGCAATGAAAAGGACAGACTGCTGTCATGTTTTAAAATAGCAAATACAAATAGCCAAGTGAAGTACCGGCATTAGGAAGAAAGAGTGTTTTGTTTGCAGCGCTGTCATAGATTAAACACATAAAATGGTATTTATTGTCTCAGATTATTTTTTAACTTTTTAATTAAGCTTACTTAACTGGAAGTGTCCGTCACAATCTAAATACTGATAAATATCGCAAAAAATAAACTAAGAATTATCATAAATGCCAAATTGGTGTTGGTTTTTAGGCCAATTTTAACATTATCCTTTAGTAATTTTAACACTGTTTGAGGCGGTTTTGGTAAAAATTATTTGAGATTAATTTTATTTTTGTTTTTTTTTCTTTTAACACACCAATTAGCCTAGCCCCAAAGTAAGCACTATAAGGCTTGTGTTATGGGATGCTAGGGCAACGGATATAATACATATACAGTACATATATAAGTATATTTATATAGAAATACATATTAACATCCATGACTGGAGTACAAATGCTCATGTTCATCACACAAACATCATAACACAAAATGATATAACATACCTACCTACTAAGATATTTATTTTCACACAATGATTCTATTACACCAAAACCTCGCGTGGCACAGTTTGAAATAATACATATTTTGTATATAACTTCAATAAACATCAATGTTATTCACTCAGAATAATCGAATACTGTCAAGCTATACGTAAAACATTTTAAAATTAAAGGCAAGACGCAGAGCTCAGTAAACTTAATTAATATTCAACATGGCATGTTGTCACTCTTGGAGCACAACTACATTAAAATGAAA